CTGACATTGTGTTATCGAACAAGTTGTAAGAAGCTGCAACTAGTCACAAGACGTCAATAATTAAAGATTATAAACCGCGAAAGCCTCCCAAGAAATAAATCACAAAGTTATTTTAATTCCTAGCTACCCTAATTCCATTAATCATCGAATAATTCCTTATTTGCAAACAAAAATTCTTAAAAGTCACTGAATGAATGCACAACATCTACAATGGTTGATTTTTCACGTACAACTTGTAAATAATAAGAAATTCACAGAGATCGAAGCCGATTTTTTCGGCTTAACTCAATTTTTGATTTTTTTGATAGAAAAAAGCCATTTGACACCCATTTCAAGTATTTAAATTGAACTTTACATGCTTTACTATGATTCTGTGTAATATTTTGTCAGCATGTAGCTATAATGAGCTCAGAATTTCAATTTAGCCGATTTTAAGCCGATCGGCTTAAATTTCGGCTTAACATTCTTTAACTTGAAATTCTGAGCTTACTATAGCTACATGCTGACAAAATATTACACAGAATCATAGTAAAGCATGTAAAGTTCAATTTAAATACTTAAAATGGGTGTTAAATGGCTTTTTTCTATCAAAAAAATCAAAAATTGAGTTAAGCCGAAAAAATCGGCTTCGATCTCTGGAAATTCAGATACTTAGCTTGCCCAACTTAAATTTATGAAACACTTTAGATTTACTCTGATTTATTCACTCCAAGATCATTGCACATTAAAGGCAGCAAAAACACCTTCCATAAATAAAAGAACCCAATAATTTTCTCCCAGATAGCAGTCATTAAAGACGATGCAACATGTTCGTAAAAAAAAATGAAAATTAAGAGAAGAAAAATTGATTGTAAGTACCATCATCATTCTTTCGTGTGCCTAATTGCCTTTGTTTTTATTTATTTTTTGCAATGTTTCATTCATGAAAAAAAAATACGACATTAAAATAAATGCGACTTCAAGTGAGACAAAAAATTTCCCTCATGCGCTATAGGCATAAAATCTTTTCTGTCAAATAAGTTTAAATCATTTCTTCTCGTTCCTTTTGAGAAGGCTTTTAACTGTAAAATTGCAATATTTTAAATATTTATCATTTTAAATTTCTGTCAATTAAAATTATTTTCCCAATTTATCATACATTTTTTTTGCTGGCTAAGGAAATAAGACTTTTAACTATTGGAATGTGAAGTTCACACTGAGAATTTTTCTTTTATGTCTTAAAAAAATTATTCAAGCTTAAAACACTGAATTTTTTTATTTCTAACGTTTGTGAGTATTTTTTTATGTAGATATGGAAGTACTCAGGTTTCAAAAAATAATCGTAAAATTTTTAAATGTCATCATCGTCTTGGGAATAATGCAAATTTCATGTCAAAAATTCGTCAAAATTATGTATCATAATTTTTGTTGGAAGTAAATTCGACTCTAGAGAATCTTCCGCATTTTATTCGACCAATCTCTTGTTTTCAACCTACAAGATTCCTTTATAGAATCTTAATGAACTCTTTCCAAAATAAATTAAATCTCTCTGCCAAAAATTCAGGCTGATCTCAATTAAAACGCAATAGGAAGAATCCCCTTGATCAAATCCAGTACAAGCATGTACTAGATATATCCAAAATATCAAAGCAATCTAGCTCAAAATCGAGAGAATTTTAAGCACACTTAGCCAATTAAGAGTTCATCACAATTTTGTTAAATTTAAACACAAGATAAAAACTGCACACTGAGAAATTTATATCACAGGTAACTGAACACATTATCAGACAGACGAACGTAAACAATATCGACTTTTCTCCTGGATATTTCACTTAATAAATGAGAAAAAATCATTTTCTTCTTAGATGTGAATGAAAATATTTAAATTGGGGGTCATTTGTAAATGACGTCTTATAATATGAGAGCTAGTTCTGTGCTTCTTAAACTACTGCAATGCAGTGAGTAACACAAAAATACACTGCAATGTGCACCAGAGTTACCTCCTTGCTATGTCCTAAATTTACACTTTTTGATTTTTATCAATTTTTAAAAAATAATTTCGCCACGCTAGTAAATAATTTCGCGAGATTAGTATGCACAAAGTTTTAGAACCACTGGCAGGGTGAAGTTTAAAGTAATGTCTGATAAAAATCAAGGCAAAGCTTAAGATAGAGCTTAAAGTATAGCCTAGGACAGTGTTGTCCTAATTTTTTCTACGTTAAGGAACACCTCATTGGTAGTTCACGATAGATATCGCACACATTATTTCGTTCGTGGTAATTCTTAAACTTTTCTACGGCAACTAGTGTACGGGGGACATAGTTTGGGCAACACTGGCTAGTGTCCAGAATATAATTTAATATTTTAAGTCAAACATCATAGCATGTGAACCTCAATGGTTTTGGGACACATCCGTTGGCACATCGAAAAATTAAAATTTTCACACTAATAGACGTCATTTACGTACGATCCCCCATACAGAAAAATATGATTAAATTTGAAAACGTACAGTCAGTCTCATCTTCCACTTTCCTCAATTTCCTCAACATTGTCGTAATAATTTTCTTTCCTCCTCAATTTTACGCGCCTTCCTCTATGAAATTTAAAATGCACACTACATTCACAATTAGTCTCATTGCAATTATTTCATATTAACTTGTTTGTTGCAGAGAAATTAAAACTTTTTTTTTTCTGTCACACATAAAATTATTTTGTTTCTTCAATGAAAGAATTATAAAGTCACATTGTTTACACTTTTAGGCCATGCATTAACATAAAATAATAAAAAATTGCATGAATGTGGGCTGGTGTTGTCTCGAGACAACAAATAAAAAACATTTATGTGCAATTTTATTGCTGTCGTGTCGCACTCATAAAAAAATATAATTTTTGTCAGCCAAAAAAATCCCTAAAAAGTCGCGTTACAACCACTTTATGCCTTAGATTTTTTTATTATTATTATTTTTTAACAATTAGAATTTTTCACATAATTGAGCAATAAAAACATTTTCCCTCTCGCGACAGTTATTAAGCGATTCTTTTATTGTTCTGCTCATTTCTTTTCCTCTAAATTAAATGCGACAATTTTAATTTTTAAATTTTTTTTTTTCTCTTTTTTTTAAATAGTGGAGAGATTCACTGTAAGAGGAAAGATCGCGACGGTTCCGCGTTTGAAATACAACTGAAACAAAATACCCTCTGACTAAAATCTTACTTCATTCTCAATTTTAACGAATATTCTGTCAACGAAGATGTAATTAAGTTTTCAGATTGTCTGACTAGATGACTGATTGATTTGTGTGATGATTTGAAAATGAAAGTATATAAATTTTCTTGAGGAATGTGGGAAAACGTTTGAGTGTCTTTGGGATGATGAGTTTTTTGTTGGATGTGATTCCTTCTTGATGTTTCTTGCTAAGTATACATATGATTGACTAAAATCTAACAATAAGACCTGATGTTGAGGTGCTTCAGGTCCTATTACATCAGTATTATGCATTCTAAATGACGTAGATCTCTACAATAAGGCTTAAATTTTGTGTTGGAATTATATTCTTTCTAGGACATAATCTACCGAGTTAACGACTAATCTTGCATGGATTTTGGTACCAAATTTGAACAACAAGGGTTAGGTGCTGTTATGGTCTCATGATGGTGTTTCTTGACTTTATGTAGCATTTAAAATTCAGTTTTGTAGATGAACTAATAGTGACTGATTAATATGTAAAGCTGTTTCATATAATTCATAAATAACAATTCAGATTCATTTTTTTGACCAATACCTTAATTTAGGGGAGTTATTAAGCACCAATAGTCTTTGTCTAACATCAAGTTTAAATAATCTAGAACACATTGGACACATTGAAATTCATTGAAATGTTTACCACAAGGCAGCCGGGTTAATAGTATAATTAGAACCAAGCGTCAGCCACGAGGCAAACACTTGGAAATAGCTTGCTTTCTTGGTTATAATTATACTATCATCCCGGCTACCGTATAGCAAACATTTCAACGTGTGTCGATCGGGAATGTTTTGATTTTAGAATGCTTTTATGATAAAGTTAATAATAATAATAATAGTTTATTACCAGAGGTATTTAGATAATTTGGCATGTATAGTACAACGATACAGAATGTGAAGAGATAATATAATAAAACATTTAGAAAATTTATTATTTGTTAAAAATGAGGAATTTGAGCATGACACTAAAATTGAATATGGTTTGCAAGTTAAGGCGAGTTAAGGCGTGGAAACTATCCCAAATATCATATTTATCCCACATATCCCAAAAATATTCAAAAAATTCCTGAGCATGTATGCACGATAATAAAGATATCCCAACGTATCCTTAGTGCATTGGACGTGTAATTTCAGGATATGATGGGATATCTCAATTCTAATGCATACAGGCTCAGGGATTATTTTGAATATTTTTGGAGTATATGGGATAAATGGGATATTTGGGATAGTTTCCACGCCTTGGATAAAGTTTACAAAGTGGCGTAGAAGAGTTTATGTCGTCCAGTGTCAAATTTAAAATGTGTATGTAAGTTCGTCGAATTTGGTCCTATTTTGCATGATTCTAGGGTTTGATCCCCTCTCACCTTCTTGGCCCTACTAAGCCTATTAGTTTTATAGTGTTCGTCACAGATAATATATTAAAAATCCACTAATGAGAACTTTTACTAAAGTTTACTATTGGGACAGTGAAAATCGAAGTTACAAATATCTTAGTAAGTCTCAAACCTAAGCTCGCCATGTCTATAGATTCAGTTTTAGATAACAAAACTTGATAGATTCCTAAAACTGTATCATTTCATAATCTAGTCCCTTTGCCTTCAGATTCTATAGAAAGGATTTAACTCAACAAGAGTATTACAATAAATCAATCTCAAAACAGCGTTTAAATCTCAATCCATAAACTATGAAGACCCAATCCTACTTGTTTTGTTAAATACTCATTTCTCCTTCTCTTCCCCTTACACTAAAAAAAATCTTTGCCTCAATTTTTTTTTAAATTTTCTTTGTTTGATTGTCGGAGAAGAGTCAATATTTGTTCTAGTAGCACACAGAGAGTGGCAGTGTAAGCGGCAAAATAGATACTTGCTGCCTTGTTAGCAGTGGCAAACAGCAAAATTAATATCTGTGTAATAAAAAAAAAATTTAAGATCGCGCGGCATATGAAAAATTAGAGTGTTGAAATGCCGATAATTAATTGGGTGACTTTTCAAAGTATATAGTTGATTTCAGCTCATTCTCATGGTGCTATTAATTAAATCATTTTTTCATGCTCACTCCTTTCCTATTTACATCTATCTGAATGTAAATGAAGTTAAAATTGTTACAAATGAGCGAGACGAATTTGATAAATTTTCTTGTCTACGGATGATTATTTTCATTATGGATGTAAGTAAATTGCATAAGGGGTTTGTCACTTGTTACCATTATTTGTGTTCAACATGACCTCTCATGTCAACAAACGAGCTACTTTAAAAAGTCTAGTGATGTTAAATGTCATGTGTGATACTCATTTTTTAAGAGATTAATGTTATGTGCTGTACTGCTTGTAGCCAGCTTTTATGTGTCTCACAGTTTTTATTGTAATTAAAAACACTCTGAAAGTGAATTTTTTTTTTGAATTATTAAAATTGAGATGTAAGTGGACAGAATCAAGTCAGCTGTCGTGTGCATCAAAATTTTTATGGGTGATAATTTAAAGGTCAAAAGTTTATGATGAGAAATTTTATTGGACTAGTCATTTTTATGAGTTTTTCAATTTAAATGTCATAGCTATAAAATTTCTGATGTGGGGATAAATGTCTAATTTTTCGAATCTAGGTTGTGAGTGACTCAAAATTCAGATTCAATTTTTAATGTTCTGTTCGATTCCTTAATTATGTCAATAACAGTTATGCTTGGTCTTGTGTAGGATTTGAACCCACGTCACATCTTTAGAATAGTAAATTGTTTACAGATCAACATTCTGAGACACAGAGAACTAACCTTCCCACTGACAGATTAGCACATATATGACTTAAATTCCTTAGACTCAACTCTGCCAATAAAACCAGCCCTACTCTGAATTTTTATAGACAATCGTCTTTGCCAATTTAATTAACTAGAAATGTAAAAGAATGTAAACGCGCAGACATTACAGTCCTCAAAATAACTTAGTAGATCTTAATAAATTACCTCATAGCAATGTGACCATAATGGCCATTAACAAATCTACATAAAAATGTTTAAAATGTTTTTCAGAATGATCGCAAAATTTCCAATTAAAGACCTTTAAATTTATTCTTAAATATTTTATTACTATCAATAAACACAAACGCCCATAAAGGTCGTAAAATGAAAGCATTTCTCCTTAAAAGTGCAGTAAAATCTTCATAAATTAATTATTCCACATCTATCGTTGATAGTTAATTACATTGTGGAGCCAACTGTAAATTAATTAATGGAAAATCAAATGAATGAAATGAATAAAACCACATTAGCCTAATGACCACTATCGGCAATAAAATTCAGATGGCGTATACTAACTTATAGCGCTGTCAATAGCAGTTTAAAGAAATAATTCAATTCATTAAAACGTTTTGTTGGGTTTAATGAGCTTGTTATGAAAATATTTGGAGGTTATGGTCAAAATATTTTGAGACTATTGGGGGGTTTTTCATTAATGACGTCTTGTATGTTAAAGGTATGGATAGTAGTGGAGCAAAGTAAGATCAAGGATATACCAGCTTCATGTCAGGATAAAACAAAGAATATGCTTGTACCCAATTCTGGTGGACATCATCTGTACACAACCTTTAACAATATTTTTGATTATAATTGGCTCCTGTCCAAAACTGCCTTTTGCAGCATAAGAAATTCTGAATTTATACAAAAAAAGGGATGAGACTTCGATAATATTTATTGACCCTCAAATGTTCTACAAGACATTGAATATCTTGAGAATCAAGTCATCCATAAACATCATAACATGAAACCACAACATAAAAGACACCGAAGCATGCAACCACATCCATATAACAAAGTGTAAACACCGTCCAAAATATGAATCTCATAAATAATTTATATCGAAAAATTGTCGCTAAATCCCATCAGTTCCAAAAGATCTATTATTAATCTACCGAAATTCATTCAATTTTCACAATTGGGCATGAAATGTAGGCATAGAACAAGCATTTAAGTCATCTTTCTTCCGTTTTAAGTCGCATGCGAATGAATTACAACTTCTGATGTCATAAAAATTGTCATCAACGTAAAACGATACCAAAAATGTTACAACAATGAATGAAGTAGCAGCAAGTACAAACTAAACAGCACAAACATATGCAAATTATGAGAAATTTTTTACGTAGCGTAAAGCTGTGGCATTTACATTTATGTGTGTCTTTCTTATTTGCATTTTAAATAAACACAGCACACGACCAACAGCACATAAGCAAGTGTTGCATCATCAACATCCATTGACAACTTTGTTTCTACATTTTTTGCATGTACAAAAAAAGACTTATAAGGAAACTCATATATTTGGTGTTAATTTGAAGCCATGTAGTTTCTATATTCGGAATTTAAGATTACTCATACTGATAAGAAGAAGCAGCAGCTTGCGTTCTTAACAATAGAGGATGAAAATCGTTCATTAATGGAAGATAATAGACTGAGAAATTTAAATTATCGAGCGAGAAAATCAAAGAAAATTAATGAGCAAAGCCGCTGTAATTAAAAGGTTCGAGATCTATTTGTTCTTGAATAGTCATTAACATGTCCATGAATGTTTAAGTTTCTCGAGAGAATGGATTTGATTTTTAATGTTATTGAAGTTTTGTGGTTGAGAGATGAATTGATGTAAAGAGAAGTTGAAATTATTGTCGGTTCTAGGCAGTAGTTTAGATGTATCTTTGCTGTTAATTAACCTAATCACAATGATATGTATTTATAACTATTTTGTCTTAAAACTGGAGCTATCTGAGAGATAAGAACTATCAAATCTTTCATTAAAGACCCAAGTATAAAACTCCTTTGACTGTTCTTTCCAAAAGTTTGGTTTATTACACATTAATGCTTACGAATTGAGGTTATGGATATAAAATCGATAAGTTCTTGCTCATGAAACTAAAAGAATTCGAAAAATCTTTAATCAACGTTGGTAAAGCGCCAAATGAGTATAAATCAAGACCCAAGCTTACACCACACTAGCCTCATGCAAGAATTTTCTTAATACCCTTTAAAAAAATGGTCTAGAGCAGTTCTGTCCAAAGTATTTGAGCCACGGCACACCTAGGTGGTTAATCATGACCAAAACCGCATACAGCGTGTGGTTTGTAGTATTTTTAACAAGTTTATATTGCACACTAGTGTTTCGCGGCACACAGTTTGAACAACACTGGTCTAGCGTAACGCATCTATTGATAAACATAAAGAAAAAGTCAGACATGCCCTTGAAAATAATTAAATGAAATACGAGATCTTAAGTAAGTCACATGGACAGCACATCCTTGGTGGCATTCAAAAATTATGAAAAATCTCTTTAAAATCCAAAGTATGTAAACAGACTTGAGACAGTTCATTTATCAAAGGAAAATATTATTTTCACCCAAATATTCGCGATTATTGAAATAATAAGTCTGTCAAGCAGTCTCGAGAATACAAAAAAATTGCAAGATGATTAATTTTCAAGAATAAACACAAACAGATGATTTACATTTTCATAATATTAATCCACAACTAACACATATTGCCGATCAAGTAAATTCAAATTCTATGTCGAATTGCACTACAAAGAAAAATTCCGCTGATAATTAAAGCGATACCTACAGAGCAATGTTTGAGCAACAAAACAAAGAGAAAAAAAAGAATTCTCGCATTCATGAGAAAAGAATGCTTGCGAGGAAGTGAAATGAAAGAAGTAAGATGAGATGAAAAATATTCGTACACATGTTGCGATAATACATTAAAATGTTTTTCAACTAGCTTTTCACCTGATTCAAATAATTTATTGTGAGTGACGCAATCTATTTATGTCTAGACTTGGACACTTGTGTAAATTTGCTTAACAGTTTGGGCATATTGGGAACTTAGAGAAGATGAGTCTTTAAAAATGGATCAGTGAGGTGATTGGTATATGGACGTGAGGATTTTTTTGAATTTTGAATGGAACTAGCTTGCTGTGAGCCTAGAATCATCAAACTAGTGACACAAACGAGGCTAAGGTAGCTTAAAATGACTTTAACATGGAGCTTTTGTGTCAGAAATTAAAGATCTCCTGAAAAATTAACTTAATGGATTCAAAAATAACTACAATTTAGCTTGCTCCAGATCAAGTCCTACGAATCCAAATCTAGCGTCCACTCCTTTGCATCCCCATTTGTTTATAAAGTGCTCATTCTACAAAAATGCCAACAAAAACTAATTTTACTTTGTTTGCTTTTTTCCTTTCCTTTATTTCTAATTAAATTGACAACATTCACAAAGTCGCACAAGATGTGGGCCAGTTAGCCTCAATGACGTCACTCTTGTTGTGTGTGTCTCTACACATGATGAAGAGATTCTTTTAATTTTTCATTTTAAATATCTACGATGACTCTACTCCTGACTTATTTTCTTCTATTTGTAACTTAATTGTGTGAAAATTCACACAGAAAAGAATCTTTTTTTTATTTTTTTAAATGTGAGGCTTAAACAAATTATTGTGGATCGTTTACGATCTTACGAGAGTCGTTATCTATTTATAATTTGAGTCTTTTCGTTGTTAAGAAAACAAAATTAAAATGCCTTTGATTTGTTTTGTGTGAGTTTTTCATTAGACAGGAAGGTGAAAAAATTTTCACATAAGTTTAGGGGTTCTGGACTGGGAATTAAGAATCAAGGGTATAAGGTTATTTCCCCTAAATGATAAGGAACTAGCTTTATTTCCCAAACAACCTAAGGTCGATTATAGATTAAGTTTAATTGCATGGTTAATGTTGATTCTTTTTCGATTTATTCATTAAGTTTGAGTTCCTAGCATGTAGCAATTTAGTTGTTGTTTAAGCAGTGACAAGAGCCATGTGCTTGTCTAGTGGCTTTATTTAGCACTAAGAATACTTGGCTGTTAATAGTACATGATCGGTATACCTGTATGTGGATATGTCTTTAATTACTGTTCATAGCTTCTGATAGTCAGTAACCAAAGGGTTTCTAGTTGTTGCTCCTAGCTAATGTTACTAGCTAGACCAGTGTTGTCCAAACTGTGTGCCGCAGGACATCCTTAGGTGTGCCGTGGAAAAATATTAAAAATCCCAAAAATAGGTACGACATAAATAATGATGATTTTTAAAGAAAAATTTATAGACGTGCCGTAAAAAAATATGTAAAGCCAAGTGTGACGTGGCTGAAAAAAGCAGAGATCGAAGCCG